CAACATCATTCTTTCTATGCCTGACATCATTGAGGCAAAGAGCCTCTAATTCACCCACTCCCAGTTGTCAAACTACTCACACTTAATGTGAATGAGGCAAAAAGTCCCTATATTGTTGTGATTAAACTTACATCTCCAACTTATTTCACGGAAAGAGTCTTTGTCCGACTCACATGTAACGTTACAACATTAATGTCTAACATTATTTAGACAAAGAGAAAAATCGAAAAAAATAAATGTTTTGTAAATGAACCATTAAATTTAATGACTTAATTACAAAAATTGTAAAAAATAATTGAAGGATTCAACTACAAAGTTTTACAACTTGAAGACTATTTAACAGTTCAGAGACCTATTGATGTATTAAACCGAATTATTAACTTTTTTTTAGTAATATTCAGTATATTATTTTATTAGTGAGAAACACGATTTTTATCCCCAAAATTATGGGTGTTACATGAAGTTTTACCGAAACAAAACATACTTATTGCATGTGTTTATAATCTTTTGGTTAGAAGAACTCAAGAATATTTAGAATCACGGTTAATGATGTGCATTGTCCGTTTTGCTGCTTAAGATAGTAAATTAGGAAATGGGAAGTACATAAAGAAATCGTAAAATAAAAATAAAACTAGCTAAAACTGATATTGTATTTGATTAAACCTGTTAAAGAAGACCAAATTGAGTATCACTCCATCAAGGAGGCTTTAGCATCGGTTAGGTGAAAGTTTTTTTTTTTTTTTTTTGAAAATCAGTATGCTGGATTGGTTCTATTTCATGACCACCCACTTACTTAGGCCTTGTAGCCCATTCCATAGTCGTATCAGACTCAAAGGCCCAAATTCACTGCAATGTATTCGCTCCTAAAACCACGCCGGACAGGTTTCCAACAAAGTTCTGTATAGCAGCAAAAGTTCTCAGCTGACATCATACTTTGCTCTCTACCCTGTTAATGTTCACTATAAAAAGAAAATTCATTTACCAATGATTTATTATTTTGTGAATTATTGTTAGTATAAACTTTTATTTTTATTTTTATTTTTTATTTTTACAGAAATCAAACTATTAGTATAATTATTACTATCAGTTTGTTTACATGATACTCATCTCTCCAATTATACATGTTGTATTGCTTTGTAGTTTGTACTATTACGATGTTTAGTCAATTAACATAATGGTTTTCTATGCACTCATTTTACTTACATTGAACTTTATGATGCGTGGCCAAGTCAAGTTGGCATGTTTTCCAACCCAAATTCTTATAAGCACCAAGGTCCACCGTACTATCTCAAACTATGCGTGCTTATGAAAATTTTTGTTTTCATTCTTCAAACACTCAAATCTATACATTGATGCCAAACTTATAGTAAATTGATCCGAGAGGACACTCTTAAAAGTACTGAAAATTTGCAGGAGTGCTCCGTAAATTCCTATAACTGCAAGTGAGATGCTACTTGTCCCTCCTTCCAATATTAAATTTCTAGCAAGATAATTCATGAATGTATATAGAAACTCGTAGATTATGATTCATCTTATCCCCATTTTCGCAACACACCACCTACGAAAGGTGTCAATTAATTTCATCTCAATAAGCACCAAGTTGAATGAATGTCTGTTATGCCCAGTTTTCTCAATAAAAGAACTAGTCACTTGAAGGCATAACGAGCTTTTTGTAATATTATATCTACAGTTTGTAATTTGTATTAAATTTTGCAAAGGCTCTATCCCTTCTCCAATTAGCCATATCTGCAAGTTAATATCGGGTATTAAAAGAATTTAGTTACTTCCAATGCTGTCATGCTGAGAAATTATTGCTAGCTAAGGTGTAGCATCAAGGGTGCTTAGAAGTAGAAGAAATAGAGCAGATAAATGATTTATTCAAGCAAGAATTTAATGCGTAAACTTCAAACCTGGGTGTCTCTTCGTGAAACCTGCATAGCAGCAGAAACAGTGACAGAGAGAAATGATTTTTTTTATCCAGCAATAATACTTAAATCAAAACTTCAAGCTTTATCTTGGCACTGTCAAAACTAAATCAAAAGGAATCCAGAGAAACAAGGTCAAAAACAAAAAAAGTGTATACTAGAAAAGATGAGAATGAGCAACATGCTTTTATAATTCATTCTATTATTTAATCCATGTTTACTCATTACTCTTTAATTGAAAATTTTCAGTGTAACAAGTAGCTTTTGTTTTTTGGATCTTTGGTCATAGTAAATAGGTAGGTAGCTCTGATTCATAGCCTCTAAACATTTTATAAGATTGCTGAAATTAACACTCCAAGATCAGAGTGCAGCAGTAAGAACAGCGACCTTAAAAAAATAATCCTAGCATACAAACTAGTTATCGCGAGCTATACATACATTCAAGACAGATATTCCACAATAGTGAGCACCATGCTATGCATACATCTATGACAAATATTCCACTCTCCTTCAAAGTAGGTCAACAAGATACAGTAAATGAATGTGAAATTTGAAACTAGTTCTCCAATGAATTAGTATTTTGTAGTATACTTGGAATCCTAACAAAGAATCCGTTTAAACTCAGGACACCAAGTCTAGGATTTCGTACGTGTTCCTATTTTCTCCTTTCTAGTTTCCAGTGTTTTTTTTTTAGAATACTATCAATCCATAAACCAGGAAACCAGCTCGTCTATATCTTATGATGCTAAAAATAAACCATAGATTCAGGAGATTTAATTTGTTGGTCAGCTTAACCTAATTCTGACCCACAAAACTACTTACATATAGAATTGGACCAATAAGATTTGGCTTGATACTTTCAGTCAATAAGCTAGGCCATTTGAGCAGAGCTATTACTAATAACAATCTTTTCGATTACAGTATTAGAAGTTCCATAAGTTATTTTCAACCTATCACTTTCTTCAATATGTCTCCATAATTCACAATACAATGGTTAAAATCCTATGCAAATGCCGAGTCAAATCTAGGGATTGTTAATAAAAATAGGTTGGGAGACACAAAACCTACACCAAAGAGCAGGTAGAGGAAATCCAAGATAGTGCAGCGTCCATTCCATAATTTACAGAACTTCCACATTCTTCAATAATAATAAAATAAAACTAGTTACTTGAAAGCATAACAATTATTTATTTATTTATACATATTATATCCATCTATTATCTATCAATCTCTCTATATAAATATCTCTCTATATAAATAGTTTTCTTTTATAACTTCAATTAAATTAAATTCTGCATAAGGCTGTATGTTTCTCTTCTTTCCAGTTAGCTATATCTAAGTTAATTTGGGCATAAATAGAATTTAGTTAATTGTGTATCCTGATATGTTATTATTCGGAGGACAGTAGTCTCTTGACTGTTGAGGGGTAGCTAAGACGACTCGAGTGTCAAACGCATGGATGTCTACTCTTTTGACAAAATTCCACATCGGGTGGAATAACAAAAAACAATTAAATTGCTTACGCTATAAAATTAAAGTGTTGGATAAGTTTTACACTATGTAGCCGTGTGATAGAAACAAAGCGAACTATTCTTTCGCCTTTTACTAAAGAATACCGTGTTTCTGTTACTCAAAGCGGCATATGTCAATTTTTGAAAGAGTCTTCTTTTAGGAGGCTCTGCAATTTCAGTTCAATGATTGTGGTTTTAATTTTTTGGTTTTTGATTTAGATTGAGTACAATGTATACATAATATAATATGCCTTATAATGTTATTACTCTTTCAGTAATCTAGTTTTAGTTATTTGTGTTTTTTGCTAGAAAAAGAGGTCAGAAAATTGGTTGAATCAAAGCAAACAGCCAGATTAACTAAGGAAATTTGTTTTCTTTTGCTGCAACTCAAATATAATAGAGCAAATTAATGTGATTCTAGCACTAGTTCCCTCTCCTTTTTAGATTCATGAAACTGAGCTTATCTCTCTTTTAATTGTTTATTCCTTCATTTTTTTTTCTTCTCTTTTTCTGCCTTTCACATTTTAGGAAAACCATTGAATCAGAATCTGAGCTTATCCCTCTTTTAATTGTTCATTCTTTCAATTTTTTTTTCTTTCCCATGCCTTTCACATTCTATGAAATCAGAATCCGGGCGGCAAACAAGCTCAACTGTATATCCCTATGTTTTGATGTCGTACATAACACAACAATACATAATTTTTTATTATACCATCGGATTCAGATTCATAGTTCCAACCAATATGTTTGGTTATTGTGATCAGGAAACAATGTGCTACCACTAGTTACAAAGTAATTATTTTATCAATTTCATAACAGTATCAGATATCAGAAAGAAGTTGGATCCATTGTATTCATGAAACTGCTTGCCTTTTTATGAAACCATGAATCAAACCAACTTATATATGATATATCTATGTGTTCCTTATTAGTCAAATTGAACATGCTATTGGTGGGCTTAACCTTACGCATTAAACCAACTTGAACTGATTCTATATTGCACAGGCGACTGAGTGGTTGGCGAATACTTAATAACATCCTTTATTAAATATCTTTACTCATTTAAAAATAAGTTTTGAATAATTTGTATATTTTTAATTTGCTAATTTTTTATATTTATTTTAATAACCAACACAAATAAAATTATTGGTTAAAGTATTCACCTTTTTTTTTGTTATCAAATATTTGAGCCATTGGATTCACAGATTCATAGATTGATATATTAAAATTATTGGATTCATAGATTGATACGGCTGTTAAAGAACACAATGCTACTATTTGTTAGAAGAGATTTATAACATAATATGACCTCCCTCTGATTTTCTTTCCTCCAAAAGAATCCTTGTTTATTAACAGGTGTATTTTTCTAATTTCTAATCTCATTTACACGAATGATGTTGTTTGTCATGGTGTACTTACCCTGAGTGAACTGGGATAATATAGAGTGAAAAAGTACCAGAAAATTAATTTAACTAAGTTTATCTATTTAGTCCCACATTGTTCAGCATTATAAATGTGTATAATCTATGATACTTTAAATAACTGGCAGCTGGCACCTTAAAAGTCACTTACCTGGATGGGGTCAATGGATGATCATTAAGGTCCATGGCCTAAGCCTGTGGCTTCCATTGCACTTTGGAGGGGTGCAAGCTTAAGGTCTCCCTTAATGGGAGAGCCTACTTCATTATTTGTGGCAGTGGGGACCTGCGTTCGCGCGGTCCCTTCCAGCTTCAGTTCAAGAATTTTTTTTTTAGGTATTTATTTTTTTATTCAAATTATAAGGATTTTAGTTTTTGTTATAAATGTTCTAATAGTTAACTAAATAAATCATGACATAGGTACGGAATTGCTAGATATATATTATTAATATTCTATAAGCTGAATAATTATGTATTATTTTTAGCCTAGTGTTTTGCGTTTGAGATTTATGGTTTTATTCAGAAGAATGTATTAAAGTTGTATAGTTCATTTACCATCATGGATAACTGTGAAAATCAGAATTGTCGTTGAAATTCTAATGTAGGTAATTTTAAAACCTTTACTAGCTTCTGTCGTATTGTAGGCTTCGGTAGCCAGCTAAGAATCATGTCTAATTATTTTCTTCTATTTTAACAAGGGGAAATAAGGAGATATTTACATTAATTTTTAGCATTTGTATTTTTAAATTTATGATCAAGATATTAAAAGAAAAAATAAATAATGCAAGGAAACACATTTATAAGTTATTCTCTAAATTGCTGAAATGTCTTCTGTTATGCAGGATTCTGCAGTTTCAGTCCAACTTTCAAATGCTTTTATAAATTTAATTGAAACTCTTGATATGCAATTGTAATTTAATTATTAAACTGCAGAATTAATTTTAGAGAAATTTATTTACATCGTGTTTCTTTTTTACAGACTGCAGTTATATAAGGATGCTGAGTTTAAGTATGTTTTTTTAAGTGTGTTTGACTGTTTGTGATTTATTTATATCCAGAGTGATGGTCAATCGAGGTTTTAATACAATCTCTAGGCCTATTTTCTACTTTAAGCATATCCATTTCTTGTCATCTCTTTTCATTTAACATGAAAAATTCGTTTTTACTCATCTAACTAAAACCTCTCAAGGGTAAGTGCATATTTGGGAAGATTGTTTTTAGAAAAGTTATTGCTCATTTTTTAAATAACTAAACGTCAAAATACCCTAATGACTATTCATGAAGATAAAAAATTAGATGATAGTGATGTAATATACAAACAACAAAATCCGTAGTCATTATTTAGTCCATATTCAAACTTCAAATGACTAGTTTTTATCCTAGAGAATGCAAAACACCAGTTGATTAGACTCAGCAAAGTCTAGAGCCAACTTTTTTTTTAATAACAAAAAATGAACGAGATTATAATCAGTTGAACATAGCATATAAGGAATGCTCTTCAAGACTAACCATTACAACAACATATTCAAATACCAATGGCGATTCTTCAAGAAATCTGCATATCAGTGCAGTAACATAGTGAGTAAATGAAGTTTTTTCTGCAGCATTTCTACTTAAAGAGAAGAAGATTAGACTGTTGCATAACTCATGTTTACTCCTTCATCTTTAATTGCGAATTTTCACTATGCACTAAATAGTTCTTTTCTCTTTTTTTTGATCATTGGTCATAGCAAAGAGGTAGCCTTGATCATAGCCTCTAAACCTTCTACAGAATTCTTAAAATTAACACTCCAATATCATAGGGCCCTAAAAACAACAATCATAAAAGAAATCAACCAAACATTCAAACTAGAATCCCAAGCTGGAAAACACAAAATATTCTTTAAACAGTATAATTGTAAATGCGAAGATAAGAAAGTGAGATGGAAAATGAAGTATTCATAATATGTGGGTGAGGGAGGACATGACATAAGTTCTCCGGTCTTTTATTGCATGAGGGGTAGTACAGATGACTGGAGTGGAGTCTAAAATTCTGATCAAAGCCCACATCGACTGATATAATAACAGCTAGTAAATAGCCTATGATATAAAATAGAAAACTGTCTCCTGAATTCAACACGGAGCCGTGTGATAGAAACATAGCGAACTATTCTTTCGCCTTTTACTAAAGAATACCGTGTTTCTGTCACATGAAGCGGCATACGCCAGTTTTTGGAAGAGTTTTCTTAAATGAAAACTCTGCATCTCAGTACAAAATTTTGTAATAAAGAGAAGGTCTGTTGCCAAACTTGCTGGGTTTATCAAAGAACAATACTCTGCATCTAAGTACAAAATTTTGTAATAAAGAGAAGGTCTGTTGCCAAACTTGCTGGGTTTCTCAAAGTATAATATTGTTAAAATGATTTTAGCATATTAAGTTTAATTTGTTTAATTTCAATTATATTTAATTTTGAAATATTAAAGTTTTAACATGTTAAAACATGTTTTGACAAGTAGATAATGGCATAAATTTAATCTTTTTATTTAAATAATAAAAATAAAAAGTTATAAACATATAAAAATTTATAAATAAAATAATTTGACTCTAATATGAATGAGAAAGAAGATATAAATATATAAAATATTATATATAAAGTAATTTGATTCAATTTTTCTTTTTTTCATAAACTCATGAAATTTTGAAATTTAATAAAATTAAATCTATTAAAATTTATATTACAAAATTTTGATTATTTTTTTAAATAAAACTTGAAAACATTACATTTCTATTAAGTTTTTTAAAAGAATCTCAAATGTAATTAAATTTTTATAAAATCTCTTAAAATTTATAAGATTTTTTTTTATTTTATAAAAAAGTGGTATAATTCAATACACTTCCTTAAATTAAATCATGGGACCACCTATTTTAAATTTAATTTGTTGGAAAGCTTAATTCAATTCTAACCAAATGTTCTATTTTTATATTTAGAATTGGAAAAATCAGACTGAGTTTGATACTTCCTGTCAATAAGGTAGGCCATTTTGATGGATAACCAATGTGTTATTATTAGCAATATCTGTTTCAATTTCACAATAATAATATCTGTTTCTACGGTCTCTAATTTCCAGAGCCACGTTTTGAGTTTTTTGTTTGGGATTTCAGATATTAACGATCCAAAATCAGTGAGTGCTTGAGCGACACTTTAATTAAAAGAAATAAACTTAGCATTCAATCTAGTTGTCCCAAGTCTGTAAGACTTTACAGGGTTATAATAGCACACTAAAGACTCTCAGGGCAGTAGTTTTGTATTAAGAAAGTAAAATGAAAAATCAAAGCATTCATAATCCATGCCTCAGAACAGTTTCTTGAGTCTTGCACGGTTCGCAGACTTAAAAATCTGTTGGCGACTACACTTCTGACTAAATCCCACATCGTGTGGTATACCAAGAAGCAATTAAGCTGCTGATGTTTAAAATAAAAGGCCTTTGGCTATTATTTCTAACGGAGCCGTGTGATGAATACAAAGCGAACTATTCTTTCGCCTTTTACTAAAGAATACCGTGTATTCGTCACTTACAGCGGCATACGCTTATTTTTGGAAGAGTCTTCCTTAAGAGGACTCTGCTATTTTAGTTTAAGGATTACATGTTTATTGTGTATTATTGAATACAATTGAGTTATGTTGAAATTAGTTGGGCAGACGATCAAGTTTTAACTTTAATATTTTTCTGTGATAATTAGAAAATTTGTTTGATTGTTTCATAATCAAATTTGACTGTATGATGAAGCTTGAATTGCTTCCTTTGGGCTTTCTAGAATTGCTTCCTTGGGCTCTTTAAAAATTTTGTCTATAGTCCTTTTTAACAAGGTGCATCTGTGAAGGTAAACTCAGAGGCTATTTTAGTAATGCATTTGTTATGGTAAATTTCTAATTTTATTTTTCTAATAATTATTCTGTTACAAATTTCAAATATAAATCATGTCAAAACAAAAGTTTTGATGAAACTAATCCATGTTCTTTTTATTTTAAATTTAAGCAAGCCTTGAATTAATTAGTTGAAACTTAAAATTATTGAGTTTTTAATTTCTCTTATTTACTATTCTTGACAGAGATCATCAAAGAATAAAAAAAGAAAAATAGTTATAGGCAAAATTGTGAATAAAAAATACTAAAGATAGTGGTAATTATATTATTTAACCATTTAGACATGGATTAAGATTCGATTTGTCAATTTGATATATAGTTGCGATTGGTGTTATCAATTTATTCTTACATGAACTAACTCTGTTATCAATTTATTCTTACATGAACTAACTCAGTAAAAATGATTTATTTTTTCTTATTAAACCAAAAAATCGATGAGTACTTCAATAACATGATTAAAAAAATAACTTTTTCAATAATTAATCTGAAAATTTTGTTTTTCCCGCCTGATTTTTTCCTTATTCAAACAGCCAAGATTTGATTATATAGGGAGGGATAAGGTGTTTGCTTACTATGTTCTAAAAACTGGATTTGAGTAAAAAAAAAATTTGGTTTGAACTTTGGATAAAAGAATGAACTACACTAGTGTCTAGCTTAAATAAATTGCAAAACTGATTTTCAGAAAACTCGATAAAAAGTGATAAAAAAAATGGGTAAAAATTCACGGCTAGTAAAATGAACAATGTTTAATATGATATTATTTTGATATTTTCTTAAAAATAAAAATAACTTGAGTGTTATAATTTTATTTTATTTTATTATAATTTATATGTAAACTTGTTATTAATAAACATTGTTTTTTATTATTAAAACTTAGACTTAAATATTATGATTTATTTGATTAAAAAATGTTGCTCGTACAACAAATTGTATTACAAATTTTACTACTATGTAAGAAAAAGAGAGAAAAAAAGAAAGAAATATGACATGTAATATGTGATTATAAAAAGACAAGGATAAAATATTATTGTATGAGTTTTATGTATACTTTTAATGTTAACCTTTTATGTATGATATATAAATGAAACATCTATATTTAATTTAGACTTTTATGTGTAGTTTTAATGTTAACAATACATAAAATATTTTTTTTTAGTTTTAATGTTACAAATTTATAATATTCTATTTCTGTGTATTATTTAATTATTATTATTTTACTTTTTTTGATTATATTATTATTATTATTATTTACCAAAAAAATACTTATTATTATTGTTTTATTATGAATATCCAATTACAATTCAATCACAATTAAATCAATGTTTTTTATAATTTAATTTGTGGGCATTTTGATTCTTAAATCAATACGTTGAATGCTTGATTGGATGATCGAGAGGATTTTAAAAACTTTGCCTAAACAAGTGTTCATTATATGCTGTGGAAATGACTTTGGAAGTTAAAGTGTCCGGAAAAGGATAAAATTCTTTATTTGACTAATTTCTTAAGTGCATTCATAACAATAAGTTGAAAGCTCATAAAAATTTAATATTGATGATATCGTCAAAGGTGTGTAAGGACCACAAGTAAAGATTACTCATTGTTTGTAGTGTGCTTAAGTTTCTCATGTCATAAGTATTTATGATGTTTAGGATCAGATAATCTATTTTACTGGTCTTAAAAAGATCATGGTTTCTTGGTGTAATGTTCTGATTTTACAATGTGATAAAAATAGGGAATTTAAAAAATTAAACATGAATGAATAATATTAGGTAGGAATCCATGACTTCTTCTTTGGAAAGCATTATCCTACAATCATTAATCATTATTAAATGTGTATAAAAAAATCCTTTGCTTATTTATTCGCCTTATGTCAATAAATTGTCAACACCAACCTTAATTTCAACTTAAGCAATAACTTTTTGCATTTTATAGGAAAAGCAAAGCAAAGAAGAAAGATAACTTCCTCTTCATGAAAAAAAATATTAATTTATTCTATTTAATAGATTAAATGATTATACATATTATTCAAATAAAAAAATGTAAACAATTATGTTAAAGATGTTTAACTCAATTGATTGAATAATGTATAAGATGTCATAACTTCTTGATATTGTGTTGAATTCTTACTATAATATTGTATATTTTTATCAATAATTGTGTTTCATCAATAACTGTGAGTTGTGTTGATTATATGGTGTGTATTATTTTTGGAGTAGTTGTTGAAGAACTATGAGAGTTAAAAAACTCGTGAGGGGTTTTTGGGTGTTTAGAAGGTTTCTTTGAGTAGAGGTCTAGTTTGACCATAAGAAAAGGAGTATATAAGATTTCTTTTTAGAATTAAGTTACATAAGTTCATTTTTAAGAAATTCTAGAGAGATAAGTTAAAAAGAAATTCTTTGGAGGCGAAAATTATTTCATCCTCTGACCTTCTTGTGAGTGAGTGATCCATTCCTCAAGGAATTGACTTGTTGCTGTTGTTGATTCAGGTTTGTAGAGTTAGATGCGGAGTTTTCCAAAAGAGCTTGGTTGTGTTCTTCCTTCTCGTTCCTCTCTTTTAGTTTGGAGTTGAGGTAAAGGAAGTTAAGAAATTATTTTTGATGAGTGGTATAAGTTGCATGTGGTTTGATTGTTATCAAATGTGAGTATGTTGATGGATTTTCAAATGATATGGTGAAAAGGGGCTAGTTTTATGTGCTTTAAGCATGAGAGTAAGGAAGTTGATAGTTTGATCTTTTTTGCTAATTGCATATTGTCATTTTGGTGTGGAATAAGTTGTTGTTGGTATATATGAATGACACAAATTGTTGCATATATGTTGGAGTTTTTTGGATTTTAGGTGGTTTGGAGGAATTTTGGAGCTTTGCTTTATACAGAATTCACCATCACGCTGAGCACACCTTCAAGGCGTCGAGTGTAATCCCAATAGAGAAATTTCATCTTACTCATGTTGAGTGCAGAATTGGTGACGTCAGACGTGAGAAGAGAGAATTATCTCAGGTTCAAACCACATCGGACAAGGTTTGAATGGCGTTGAGTGTGAAGTGAGAGAATTGTCTCGAGTTAAAAGCATGTCAAATGAAGTTTGAATAACGTTAGACAAAAGGTGAGAGATTTATTGTTTTAAAAAAGATATTTTCGATTACAAGATCTTACAAAGTGCAAGCATCAAATGTAATTAATAAGTGTGTGACTTATAATTCTATTTTTGTTTTTCTTCTCTTTCTTTTGTCTCGTGTTAATTATACTTTCATTAGAAAATTGTCTTTTAGAAAGATAGGTTAGGATAAGTGCATATTGAGTTCACTTATTCTAAATTTTTATGCTCTTAAAATCTAAAATCACATTATTTTAATTATTTTTTTAATAACTTTACAGGATTTATTCACTCCATCTATACTCATTCACTTCTAATTTAAAGTAACTTATTCTTCTCCCAACTTAACGTTTTCTTCTTTTTTTTTTAAAATAATTTTTTCTCCTCTCAAATTCAAATGAACCCACCCGAATCGGATCCACCCGCTGCCCACCAAAGCATGATTCAGTGATAGAGATAGATTGTTTGTTAACTTTGTTGGGCGCAATAGAAAGCAGAAAGAAAGATGGAGGCAGAAAAGGGGGCAAATATCACAGTTTGGAATCTGGAGAAAGTAAAAACAGAGTGGCGTCAATGTCATACAATACAATTGGACACAAAGGGGAGGGGAGAAGGGATTCAAATTGTTGCACAGATTAGATTATTAATAAAATACTGCTTTTATATTGTTCTGACATTATTTCATTACCTTCTTCTTGCACCATTTTATTTGATTTATTCTACACTAAATATTCAAATAAAGAAAAACAATTTTTAAACATGTTTGCATGATTTTATTTGATTTTATTCTATATATATATATATATATGTTTTTTTATATAATAAAATTATATTTTTGTATAAAAAGTATTCTAATTTTTTGTATAAAAAGATTAATCATCACTTTTATTTTTTTAATTAGAGATACTGTTATCTATTTTATTTCTTTTCGTTTTCTATTCAAGTAAACAGGAAGAAAATTTTTTACTGAATTTTTTTTTTTTATTTTAAAAAATGACTAAAATAACACATGTTCCAATTTATTTACAGAAATAGCACCTTTTACTGTTTACACTCAGAATTCAGTTCCTGGGAAACCGAATTCTGAACTTCAAATTTTTTTTTTGTTTTTTTTGTTTTTGCTCAGAATTCGATTTCCCGGGAATCGAATTCTGAGTAGTGTTTAAACTTTTTTTTTCTTTTCTGTTTGTAATTCGGGTTGTGTGTTAATGTTGTAACTGGAACGGCCCATTCTCCAAGCAGAATGGGCTATTCTGCTTTCACGTGTAGGCTGTTAATTTTGAAACTGGAACAGCCAAGTAGAACGGCCCATTTTGATCCATTCGTTTTGTGTGTATTTTTTCATCCGGAATGGCCAGTCGTTCTGAAGGGAGAACGGGCCGTTCCAGATCCAGTTTTACACCATGCTCAGATTCAAAAACGCAAAAAAAAATTAAAAAAAAAATTTACTAGCTCAGAATTCGGTTCCCCAGGAACCAAATTTTGAACGTGAACAATGAAAGGTGTTACTTGGGTAAATAAAGTAGTACATGTGCTTTTTTGGTAAATTTTTTTTTTAAAAAAATTATTTTAGTAAAAAATTCACCGGAAGAAGATTTTTTATTTTTTTATTTTTATTTTTTTACCTTTTTCTCATTCTTATTGAATAAACTTAAAACGATTTGAAAGACAATGCACAATATTCCTCTTTTCCTTTCCATCTATCTTGATTTTTTTTATTTTTATAAATGTGATATCTTACTTTTCTAAATATTTTCAAAAAGTTTGTAAAACACATTTTAACCCTTCTTTCCTGTATTTTACCAGCTCTTACAACTTTTTATTGCAATGGATCATAGGAAAGAAAATGAGTTTGTGGGTGAAGGTTGAGGGCTGGTCGGTGCCATGATTTTTTATTTTTTATTTAAATGTTTTGGTGATATGGAGCAATCATGGATGGACATCTATCTTAACTGGCATTATTAATGTTTCTGAAATTTAATGTCATTTTGATCTTTAAAATTGTTAACTTAATTCTTATTAATGTTTCCATATTAGATAATCGAGTGAGAACACGTGTATGCGAAAGTGAAATATAACATGTCACGTCACGTCACATGTTATTTGTTAATAGAATTAGACGATGATGAAAGCTAACTACAAGGATTAACTTGATTGTAAAAATTTAATTGTCATTTTTTCTCTCCTGTTTCTAAGGACTGTTATAACAATGTTCATAAATTCTTTCATTTATATTGAATGAAATGAAAAAAAAGAATTGTGAAACATAGAGACACGAATCCAACTAGGTGAAATGACATTGATATGAGTCTGAGAAATATAAATTAAAAAAGAAATCCTTAAATTGGCTCCTTGTAGAGGTAGATCTGGCGTTTGCTCAAGACTCAAGAGACTATTCCTAGCAGTAACTGCAACACTAAAACAAAAATATAAACCAATGACATTGCTTTTATTTTTTTGTCTAATTTTTCATATGATATGATATAGTTATTACTTATTAGTGAGTATTGGGAAGGGAAGGAAAGAAAAACCGGCATTGGATTCGTTGATTTGGCATCCCCTGAGACATGGGCCCCAGAGGATTGGCACACTGAAAATTTATATGTATGAGTAAGTGTGGAGTGGGAGGAGGTATGTAATGTAATATAGGAAGTAGGAAGAGGCGGTTGCATTGGTGTGGGCTTTGGAGGCCCTCATTCCAGTCCTTCACAAAATGGGAGAGAAAGAGACAGAGAAGGCAATCTGGGAGCAGATGAGAGGCCCTCCCATTGCCTCACACCACCCAACCATACCCAAGATTCTACTCCTTCTCATCCTCTTCGTTTCCCTCACCTACGTAGTCTACACGCTCAAGCTCGTCTCCACCTCACGCGCCTGCAACCACCTTCCCTTCGCCACTCAAACCGACCCCGAGGACCGCACCGCCCTCCGCCACGTCGTCTTCGGCATCGCCGCCTCCGCCAAGCTCTGGAACCAGCGCAAGAACTACATCAAGCTCTGGTACAGACCTAGGGAGATGCGCGGCGTCGTCTGGCTCGACCAGAACATCACGCCGGAGCCCGACGAGGACTCTCTCCCGCCGGTGAGAATCTCCGGCGACACCGCCAGGTTCAAGTACACGAACCGGCAGGGGCACCGGTCGGCGATCAGGATCTCGCGGATCGTGTCGGAGACGCTGCGGCTGGGGCTGAAGGACGTGCGGTGGTTCGTGATGGGCGACGACGACACCGTTTTCGTGACGGAGAACCTGATTCGCGTTCTGAGGAAATACGATCATAACCAGTTCTATTACATTGGAAGCTTATCGGAGTCCCACTTGCAGAACATTTTCTTCTCCTACAACATGGCCTACGGTGGCGGAGGTTTCGCCATTAGTTACCCTCTCGCGAAAGCTCTCTACAAAATGCAGGACCGTTGCATTCAGCGTTACCCTGCTCTCTATGGCTCCGACGATAGAATGCAGGCTTGTATGGCCGAACTCGGTGTTCCACTCACTAAGGAAATCGGTTTTCACCAGGTCCGTAACTCACTCACTCACTCTCTTGTATTAATTATAAATATTATTTGTTATGAGTGTTTTTTTTTTTTTTTTTTTTTTACTACTGTCGCTGTCTTATAATTTTGCGTGGTTGTGTTTGTTTTACTAATGTATGGGATTGCACTGTTTTGTCGGTTTTGTTTGGGTTCGGTGGTAGTGGGGACTGCTTCCTGTTTTCACTGTTCCGTAATGATGCCGACGGTTCCAGCGAGTGAGTTAGCGCGTTCCGTTGGATTCTAACAAATCGCTATTTTTAACTATGGATTAAATGGAAAAAAAAAAAAATAGAAAGTTTGCGCGTCACCAGAATTCCTGAAACTGGAAATTTTGGTTTTACTTGCCGCTATTCTGGATCCGAGTAATGACTGAATCGCCTCTGTCGGTGTCAAATCGCATTAATTACATTTTTCTTTTTATATTTTTGTTTTTCTTGCCACATTTTGACTCTGCATTCAATTTCTGCCTTGTGAGATTTAATTATCTGCGTTCGCTTGCGGATGCTTTACACCTCCCATTAAATTCTTTTATTCGCCTCATATGTTAGACAAATACTAGTACTACCAATTCAATAATAACTGTTTTTATTTCTGAATAATTAAATTATGATAAGAAAAAAGAGAGTAGGAGAGATGAATTAAGTGCACTTCATAATTAAGAAAATTAAGAGTATGAAAATTTGACAACACTAAATATAATTTTAAAAGTTATTAACAGCTTATGTATGTATATAACAATATAAAGCATGTTTAGATCACCTAGTGTACAAGTTGAGTGGTGGAAAACACGGTGCTTCTGCATTTGGAGTGGAATCGATGTTTTGACTTGTGTTTGAGTCAAATTTGTGGAAGTAATTAGGCTGATTGATGAGAGATAGATATACATATAAGAATAGAGTAGGTTAACTTACGTTAGAATTGAAATATATATGTAAGGCCGGTCTAGACTTTTTAAAAGCCTGTATAACTTATTAGTATATTTAAAAGATTATTTTACGTTGACAATGTTAAATAAGTTAATTAAATATATGTATAAGTCTTTTTAGAATTCACATAATAAAAAATAATTTATTCTATTATTATAAAAATTTGAAATTCAAAATAAAAAATTAACGATAGATGAACTCAGTAACACTTATATAAGAATGTAAAACATTTAAAATGTTTTTAATTCTAATTCTAATTACTCTTAAAAGAGAACATTAATTTTTTTAATTAAAAAAAGATCAATAGTTAGACTTTGACCGTTGATAACAGAACAGTAGCATTTGGTTTTGTTGAAGAAAGCATCAAAGTGTTGTTATAAGTTATAGAGAAGGCATTGTGATTTCTGACAAGTGGCGGTGATTTATTGAAACAGTACGATGTGTATGGAAACCTGTTGGGGCTTCTTGCATCTCACCCCGTGACTCCTTTGGTGTCACTGCACCACCTTGATGTGGTTGAGCCAATTTTCCCCAACATGAGCCGTGTACAAGCCCTTGAACGCCTCACCATACCAATGAAGCTTGACTCGGCAGGCCTCATGCAGCAATCCATCTGCTACGACACATCCAAGAGCTGGACTGTCTCCGTTTCCTGGGGTTTTGCTGTTCAAATATTTCGCGGAGTCTTTTCACCGCGAGAGATGGAAATGCCTTCAAGAACATTCTTGAACTGGTATAGAAGAGCAGATTACACTGCATATGCATTCAACACGCGTCCAGTTAGTCGAAATCCATGTCAGAAGCCTTTTGTATTTTACTTCTCCAAGGCAAAGTACAACTCTACAATGCACCAAATAGTTAGTGAATATGAAAGACATCGTGTCCCTCATCCAGATTGCAGGTGGAAAATGGCTAATCCTGCTGCTCTTGACAAAGTCGAGGTGTATAAGAAGCCAGATCCCCATCTATGGGACAGAGTAAGTTATAACTTCCTACATATTACTCCAACTCTTGCTACACAACTAAATTAATTGGTAATGTCATAGTTGGATCCATAAACTATTGTTGGCTTACTAGTTATACTTTGTTTTGATATATATTTTGGCAGGCTCCAAGGAGAAACTGTTGCAGAGTGAACAAGTCCAGAGAGAAAGGGACCATGGTGATACATGTGGGCATGTGTAGTGAAGGTGAAGTAAGCGAAACATAACGGCGACATGTTAGTGATAAAATTGTAGCATGTTACATTAAGGGAGGAGGATTCTGGTGGAGTTTATTGAAAATCTTATTTCTTTATTTATTGGACAGCTCATTCTCATTCTCACATTGTGAAATTTTTCTCATTTTTTTTTCTCGGGTTCGCCGAAAAGGGGTGAGAGTGAGGGAAAAGGTCCATGTACAAAAGATTTGTTGTTTAAACAAAAATGTAGAGGGGATGGCGAAGGAGAAGGATAATTTGTAATTTACATGTTACTAATTAAGAGAATTTAGAAGCTTGCGTGCTTTAAGTAATCTTTCTTCTTTCAAAGCTAATACCTGTTCCTACGGACTTGTCTATTTTAGAACTAATTTGTTACCAGAGTAGTAGTTTAAGCATATGATTAGGACTGGATAGCTTTAATCATCCTCACGTGTTTACTTTTTAATATTAAAATAACAGAAATTACGTTTAAAATCTTGTGTAAGGAGTTAATGAATTTTATTACGAGTTATTATTATTTTCTCTCATAGATCTCTAGATACGAGTTTGCGATCCTGTAATAGTACTACAATGAATACGGATTGCTAAAATAAGATGCTACTTGCCTTGCACACTACGGTGTGTTGTCTTCTATAAGACAGCTGTTGAGTCACATGATGAATCAAAACAATGCATTTATCAATTAGTTGGAATCTTTCAGGCATTATGGGGCCGTTTATTTCGTATAATTAATAATTTTGATAATACAATTAAAATGTGTATCAAAATGTCATTTTTTTTTAATTATCAATATGGGTTTTGTTTTGGGTACATTATCAAAACGTGTTCAAGTGTAAATATAGTTAAGGCGTGTATTAAAATTGAAATTTATTACAACTTGTATATTTTAATAAAAAGAATGAGAATCAATATTTTAACCATAAAACAAGCAAGCAATAATAAACACGCAATCAAATAAGCTTTTGTATATTAAACCAGAGGCTCAACAATTGCAGCCCACCAAAATTAATGAATAGAAAAATGCCAATAGGATCTTCAATCTTGTAGATTGAGGAATTAAAAGTTGTCCTTATGGAACCCACTTTTCGCCTTCAGCTTTGAGCTGTCACTAATTCATCACACGGCAGTCGCTGCAACGTTTAAGCAAAACAAATAAAAGTAGTGATTTCAGAATGTTTTTGGATTTAAAATAAAAAAAAAAAAAAAAAAAAGAGTCAGGCTACCATTGATTTCAAAAGCTAATAATTCTTAGCTTCTTAAACAAATAAAAGTATAATTAGTTTAATATAAGAAGTTATGAAATATTATTATTTTCAAATGCAAAAAAGCAAAATTGGTTTCTTTTTGTGGAAAAAATCCTTTAAAAGGGAACTTTTTTCCCTGTAAGAGATCTCAAACGAGTCCACAGCCACTGTTTTTTTTAATCTAAATTTAATTAATTAAGTTGGTAGCTTGTCCTTTAATAATGGAATCTCCCCAGTCCCACACCACACAAAATGATGGTTGTTTCCAAACCTACCTTACCCTAATGTATTAAGTGCTGGTTCATACTCTAATTAATTTGTTTATTCAATCATTTTGAATCTTTAATAATTCCTCTTACTCATTAATGTCTTTGTACCAAATCGACCCTTTCCCTCACAATCCCACACGACAAGGAAAGAAATTTGTTTCAAACAACCAGCTTTTACACATACCACAGTTATTTTCACTCCTTTTTCTTCATTAATTTTACTTTTCACTTTTAATAAAACACACATAAAATTATTTAACTATCGTGACCCCTCACCCGACTTCACTTGTTTAATTACGATACAAGTTACCTTCTTTTGATAAAATCAAATTAATTATTAAAAAATTATTTTTAATTCATATCATAATTAATTTGATTACTGTTAAAAATTGTAATTAAATAACTTAATATTAAAAAAATAAATTATATTGTAATTATTTTAATTTAGACTAGAAAAAGGTAACTTGTATCATAATTAATCTGATTACTCTTGAAAAGGTAACTTATTGTATCATAATTTCAATTACTATTTATAAAAATAACTTGTATCATGGTTATTTTAACTAATATTAATAAAATTATGATTGTGTGATTTATGTTGTATATCTAGTTCAGATACCCAATGAAAGTAAGTTTTCATTGTGTATTTGAATCGAATGTATTGTTTCCTTTTATAAAATGGGGAAAAAATGATATACTCGCCAATGATATGAATTTAACGAAAAATAAGGTGAGAATACCGGTGCTTTATGGACCATGTTAAGCCCATCTTTCGTTTGTGTACATTTAGGCCCAATAGATTTAGGCATCTGGGCTCATCCCAAAGTTGGAAGCCATTCGCGTCATCACCCCGCCGCTATTGCTCACAGACCCGTCCCACTAAAAAAAGAAGCTAAAAATGAGAGACATTACTCACCAGTCTGAACTCTGAATTATAAAAGGGTAATTTCTTTCTTCAATTTATAAAAAGCTTTGCAACCATTCTGGGAAAAACTAATTAGTGACTGTTTCACAAATTTTTTTTTTATAAAGAAATTATAAAAGGGTAATTTTATTTTATTTTATTTTTTATTTATTTATCCGTACACACCTGTTGCTCATGTGCAAGAAAACACAATCGAAGTCTAGCTTTTAATTGCATGCAATTTCCGTCACAAAGCACTAGCTCTTTTTATCCTTTTTTATTGTGTCAATACAAGTATATCTCTGTATCAAACCATTGCAGATACCAAAGTGTGGTATGCATCATCACTTTGGAATGTGGATGCTTCATAAATCCAAGGTTCCTGGCTAAAAGAAACATTAGTTCATTGGCCTCGCAGTTACCTCAAAGTAAAAATAAAGCACATCGTTAACACTTAACACAAACCATCAAAAAGTTTGGCAACTAAATAAAGAAAGGAAACAATTGATGTTGATGAGACTGACATATTCATGCATCGCGAGTCATTGTCAAATTTTATATATTAATTTTCTACTGCTTAAGTATTTTGGTTATCTTATGGGTAACCATAGTCGAGCATTATCAAACTTATATATTATTAATTGCAAATGGGGTAGGCCCAAGCATGGAGATGCATGTATCTAATTCCCACATAATTCATGTGAAGCGTGATTCTCATGCAGTGATCAGCTCCCGGAACAGTATAATATCAAATATACACAAATATTTTTTCTCACGTACCTTATGAATTTCAAATCATTATATTCTTCTTCTCCTCTTTACTCTACATGATATTTATCCTTTTGTCTATTCTGGATGAGTAATAACATATAGAGATGTCAACACGTCAACCTACCGACCCTCGTTAAAATAATTATTTATATAAAAGTGATTCACAAGAAAGGCTGAATTATAATTTATCTGTTCAACTGCATGTAAGAGTGAGACTTTCTTTTGTTCACTGTTGTCTACAACAACCGGCTTGTAAAGTTGTGAATTTAAACCTAACTCAACCCTACAAAACTGGTTTATAAAGTGAAGGTTGTTTTTCACTTATATATTATTCAATTACTTAATTTCTAGTTAATGTGAGACTAATTTTTTCCAATACACTGAAAGTTAGAAAGCTACAATTTGCCCCGCAAATTTTATTGGTTTTGTTCAAAACCCAACAGACGTATTTGGATGAAGTAATTTTTATGGAGCTGGAGCATCTTATTATTATTTTTTAAAAAATTTCCATATAACTTAGTTGGATGATTGAGTTAGTTTTTTTTCACAAATCATACAGTAATTTAATAGAACATATTTATGTTAAAATTTATATATGTTCTGCGTTGAGAGTGCTCGAGTCTAGTTTAGACTTACGGAAAATATGGCACCTCTAACTTAAATACTAACTCGCTTTATTCTTCTCACTTTTTATTAAATCAAACAAAGGAGTAGCCTTTGAAATAACTTGAGAAAACAAGCCTGACATAAAAGAGTAAGCTCAAGTAATAAGAAAACAACAACTAAAAATGAAACTACAAGGCATGATGGTACACAAATCACAACTAGACCAACAAAACATACCAATCCAATTAGATTAAGGGGAGGAGAAACGAAGAATTTACATGTCTCACATTGGTTAAAAAAATAGATAGAGAATAGTAAAGTACTAATGTATATAAGTTGAGTTTTTAGGTATAACTATCTAAATTTTTTTTTTGGACAATATATATAACATCTCTCAGGCTTTAATTAATGCTAACTAGCCCATCCACATTCTCCTCCTATTGGGGCCATCTACACAATTTAATATTCTATTGCATATAATAAGTAATTTGAAAAGCTACTATAATAGGTGGAATTTTAGAAAATCTCATATTTCTGTCACTCCAATAGATACCCTTCACACATGTATACCTTAATTTGTTGCGGTTCACTTGAGTAAACTGCGTGGCGTAGAGGTTGGTGAAGTAGTCGCCAAAGACAAAGCTACTTAGGTGACTAATAAGTTTCTGTTACACGATGTTGACACATTGAGAGAATCTAAGAAATAAATCAATGTGTATGTCAAGAACTTGTTTGTGTTGCTGTCAATGACCAAAAGTCTTTGTAGGCATCGAATTCTGAATATTTAATTAATTTCACAAGTTATATATAACATCCAAACAAATTATTTTAGAAATGAAGGTGATTGAATTGATATAATTTAATGTGTACACATTTTCAATTTTTTTTAAAATTCTTCGTTCAAATACAAGGGTCAGTGTTTAAATGCTTGACGGAGTGGTTGACATATGACAAGGAAAGAATACTTTTGATCAATAACCAACCACCTGTGCTCGAATTTCTTCCAAAATATTTGGATTCCTCGAGGTTAACACTAAGAAGTATAAAAATAATAATAATAATAATAATAATAATAATAATAATAATAATAATAATAATAATTGATATTCTTCAATTCCTGAACAGTAGTATATAGTCGTGTTTAGAGAGAAAAGTCATAATTGAGTAAAGATATCCACCATAATTAGTTGTAAGTGTAACCACATCTTATTACCGAATAACTCAAGATGCTCTAAATAGGAGAACAAATAAGTGTTTCAATTGCTTGTGACTTACCAATTTAATGCTATTATCTTTCAACCACCAAACATCTTGTCTAAAATCAAAATCTCTTGGCAAATCTCAACTACTGCAGATTTTTATTATGTTTTTAATTTTATAATTGCATTCTAAAAACAATTGGAAGAAGATTTCTTAGACAGTTATTATAAAAGTCAAATTAAGCAACCAATATTGTACAGAGAGTCTTGATCCTGTAGAAACAAATTAAGGTGGCCCTCTGCTGTAAATGAAAAATAAGAGAGGGTCAGAGGGTATATGTGCTTCGATTTGGTGAAGCTATACTAGAGAAAGATTACTATTTGTCAACATTGAATTTTTTAGAAATTTACTTTCTTTGCAAAACACCGTGGTGTAATATTTTAACAGCATTTAACTGGAAAGGGATCTAAGCACCATCAAAAAAATTTAACAGGATAAAATGGATTAATAAAGTTGAAGGATCAAGGAGATGACCTATATTTTGACCTTAATAAAATCAGTGATGTATTGTTGTGTGCTTCTTATTTATCTCATCTCATCTAAAATTGTTTTTAGAGAACTTAATTATCAAAACCATGTCCATAATGCAAATTCAACCTAGTTCACACTCACTTCATATTGGCCCTGTATGAAGTTTCCAACATGGCATAAAGCGCAATAATCTAACACGTGTACCAATAAAACTTTTAAAAAAAATAATAAGACAAAAACAAATATGGGCCTTTGCGACTCAAGAATCACAAGCCCAAGAAAACAAAAAAAGAAGAAGAAATAATTGACCTTTGACCTTTAAGGCAAATTGTAAACAAATCCAACATGAAAAAAAATTAAATCCAAGCAATACAATAGAAACTATTACTCAAAAAATGGAATAAAACTAAAATGGTGCACAAGTCATAATTGGGCCGAGAAACAAAGATACCAACTCAACTGAATTTGAGAGAGTGTTGAAAAACTATAAGGTCTTGCATTGGACAAATAAAGAAAAATAAAAGTGTATATAAACATAAAGGAGTTGAGTCTAATTGGTTTGAATCTTTGAAAGATGCATTCTCATGCTTGTTAGTTGTTACCAATTCAACCTTAACCACACCCACTCTTATTGAGCCTATTGAAAATAGATAAATAAAAAGAATATTAAATTATTTGATATTCTTAATAAAAATATTTAACTCTTAGGTATACAGAATTAAAATAAAATGATATAACTATGAGCTGCATCGGTTTCAACTTATCTAAGGATTTTGTTATTTAGTTTTGTCTCATTTAAAAAAGGAAATTAAATATACACGAGTTATTTATGGCTGACGATACAGTAATGAAAAGAATTAAATAAAGAGGAGTGCAGGAGTGTACAATAGGCATGTATATATACAGAAGCGACAACGAAGGGGCTATAAATACGTATGAATATCTCGTTCGTTCGTGCGAGTCTGTTCATCAAGCTTTAAACCCAAGTTGCGTTCATTAAAGAGCATGCATGATATATACATCTCATCTTAAAAAACCCTAGTGCCTCCAACACTCTTGTAAAGATATCATTTTAATGGCAAAAAAGAAGGGGCACCGTTGAACCAATCATAAAATAGATAATATCATAAAGCAACCAATTATTATTGGCACAACAAATCGCACGTCTTCTTGAAGTGAATAAGGGACCACAACCACCAAATTATCTTCAATATATATATATATTTTTGCAAGTCTTGTTATTAGCATCCAACCAAAACTGTGCAATGAAAATGATTTATTGTCCTTTTTACAATATTCCTTTCTTTCTTCCGTCAATAAACTACAAATAACCTCAACCCTAAAAAAGAATTTATTTTCCTGGGGGTGCCCCATCAACAAACATGTAACTTCATAAGAAGAAGGTAAAACAAAAAATAATTTTAGAAAATTAAGGGTAACAAGAAAAAAAATCTGTATATAATTATATATAACCTTGCATTGCATCATCAGTTGAAGATTCAAATTCCAAAGTAGAGGTGGAATGGATACATGTTGAGTGTATATATATTATGTTACTAAATTTCTATATGAAAGCATTAATATATTATATATATAACTTTTATTCACACAATATATTTAAAAACTGATTGTAGTCAGAAATTGTAATTTCAGCTAGCTGTGAAATTAAGCATTAATATATTATATATAATTAAGTATGTATTGTGTAGTATATAATTAAATAAAACTAAAAACTAAGCTTTATAGTATAATTAATTTGAGCGGGGATGAAATGTTATAGCATGTTGTAAATATATGGAACAACGTCCTGGATGATTGAATATAAATATTTAATTTGGTTGTATATGATATGATATGATATCATACCAAATCATGAAGCAAGTGTGTCCCCATGAGATTTCTATACGGCATGTTTTGTCCTTCGCCGTCCAAAAGAGAGTACTGAACTGTTTGACACTCTTCAATCGGATCCCGTGCGTAGAACTGTGTCGCTGCTGGGAACGCTAAACTCACCCCGCTTTCACCGTGCTGCTGTAACCCTAGCGTCAACGACACGCCACCACCGGAGGAGGACTCGTGTGTGTAAGACGAAAAGTTCAGCTCCACACACCCGAACGTCTCCGCATTATTATTCATTCGCTCGTCGTTTTGGACGCTTTTGCCGCTCTTCGTGTCGTTTTGGTTGTTTACGATGGACGACACGCACTCTGAGTCGATTCGAATGAGTCGACCCTGCGTTGGCTTCTCATCTGACGCCTTTTGATCCTCTTCGGGAATATTCTCCGACGATCCTAATGCTACGTCGTTTTGTTGCTCCTTCTCTTCTTCCATGTACATCTCCTCCACCATCGGCTTCCACAGCCTCACCCTCGCGTTAATAAACCAATTCGAAACCTAAATTAAACACCAATTTTCAAATTTCAACTTCATTGCCGTGCATGGAATATAATAACAACTATTTATTTAGTTACGGTAACATAAAATAAATTTTTCGGATGCTTGTGTAAATTAATAGATACGAAAATTAAATCAAACAAGATATTAGCTAGATACTTATATATATATATATACATAGACACGTGCCTGGCTTCTGGAGAGGCCGGTTTGGCGGGCTAGAATGTGTTTATCAACATCGCTTGGGTACCTGCAAAGGTTTTCACCCAAAATATATATATTAATTAAGAATTCATTTACATGTGACCTTCCATGGCACGTATGAATTACTAGTTGATTAATGATTAAAGATAACTGTAGTGGAGAAACGGGCCCTACGTAGTAGTTGAGAGGAAGAAGCAAATGGGAAGATTATAAATTAAATGCACGAGAGGGAAAAAGAAATGATTGAAAATAATGTGACAAAATACCAAAAGATGGAATCTGAATGGTGATGCACAGAAGCTACCAAAATTAACGTGTATTCACTAATTAGTTTTTCGAGCATGAATGATTGAGATTCTGCACATGAGAAACTCACGGTACCATCCACTGCAATCGTTGTTCTCATCTATTGGTTTGGAGAGAACATTGATTCCTTGGCAAAATCAATTTTGTCGCTTACTTGTTATACCGGAACTTCCATTTCATCATATATAGCCAGCAATGAATTAGAGAAGAAAAAATAATAATGAGTAGAGGGTAATAGAGAAATTACGGGTGGAGAAAGTGCTCGAAAAGCCAAGCCCGAAGCACTGAAACGGAACGTTCGGGAAGGCCACGTTGGGGTCTCCAAGGATGAGTTTCCATCATGCTAATTTGCTGAAAGGCCCTTTGTTGTCTGAGTGATTGGTCAATGATTCGAAGCCTTGGTGTTTCGCCCCTTGTTGTGCCTGGTGCAACGGGATCTTTCTCTCCCATGGCTTTTCTCGTGGCTTGAATTTGATCCATGATTCCATCCTTCAAACACCTGAAATGTCTAGACATGGCTTTCAAAGCCAAGGCTGAGTAAACTGTGGCTGCCCCATTACCCGCC